GATCATCACAATTTTCTATTTAAATAATTTAAATATCGTGTCGCCACTGACATCTTCACAAGGCATGGAATCGAATGAAGGAGATCCTATCCTTAGTTCGCTGTTGGATTCGAAACGTTGAAAATCATTCAGCTCAGAACCTTTTGCTTCCCTTTTAGTTTTTAGGTTTTATTTTGGCGTCGGGTTGTTTTCTGTAACAGAATGAGAATCAAACCATGTTAATTTTTAAATTAACGCGCACATGTGGCTGCACGCTTTGAAGATGAGATGAAGTCCGGATTCAAATGTGAAACGAAGTTTTTAGGTAGCCATCGGGTAACGGTTGGTACTTGCGCTACTGTAGGAAATTTTTTGCAAATGCGTTTTCGACCCAATCATTTCATACATATAATAATCGATTACGCCGACCGGTGCACAGAACCTGAAATTATGGATGCTGTTGCTCAAGCATCAAAAGACCATGGCCAGGTAATCCTTGCCGGCGATCGCAATCATCAAGCAGTTACTATAAGCGAATATGCTCGTGGACGCGGTTTATCCACATCATTTTTGAGAAGAATTCTTTCGTGCGCTCCATACCTACAAAATTTTGAGCGTTTTCCCATTTAATGTGGTTGTTTTGACCCTCGCCTAGTTTCAAGACTACTCCACAATTTGTAGCATACTATAGCATACTTAAAGGGCTCTTATCGAAATGTGTCTAGCTCGCCGAAATTGGGGGGATTCATAAATGAAATTTTGCCCTATAGAATCTTTATAATTTTATAAGATGTAAGTGGATGTGTAGTGTATGTGACTGTGTTAAGTGTACACTTACTTCGCCAGCCAGTATCATAACAACAAAATTAGTTTACCAACATTTTATTATTGTGTTATTATTATAAATGTTTAGACATATTAATGACAATTGTGTAACAGACTCAAAACTACGATTACGTAAAATTAAGAATTATAATCTAATATTAACAATACAAATTACAACTCACCTAGTCACGCCGAATGTACATTCGTGCTTCTATAAAAAATTAACAATTAGTTAGATTTGCAATTTCGACGTTAAATTTTTGTTTCAGGACAAAAAATGACTTCTTCTCCAATTGCTCGAAGCTTGTCTACAATCGCTTAAACGTTTATAGTTTCACTGACAGATCCGGAAATGCTCTTAATCGCCGTGAAATATACAATGCGACATACAATGCTCATAAACGTGATGAGTAATAAAGGATTCCGTTGGAGTTGAATATAACTTTCTTCTTCTTTCTTACGGATTTGTTATTATTATTATATGGAAAGAGTAATCTTTTTATATTTGAAAATAGGGTAAAATCGAATGCCACGCCTATAAAAATTGTATAAAACTATTGAGGAGACGTACAAGGGGAGATGAATGCCTATTTTTGATACATTTATATAAAAAAGATTATATATTATATTTCAAGCACTTGTATGAATATATGGAAAGAATTAACATCAAATTTTTCAATTTTTCAAAATAATTAAGAATAGATTAATATGAGATTTTCATTTTTCCCAAATAATCCCAGTTTATATATTACTAAGATAATATCCTTATATACTACGAGCTTTTGGTTTTTCCATTCCTTTGCCGCTACACGAATATTCTATATAATCTTCGGTTTGGGCCAACAGTAGCGATTTAGCGATTTAGGTGGTGCTTGCAAATGTTCTTCAATGTTCTTCACCGCCATACTTTTCCACAATATGTTCCTTCGTCTGAAAAAAAATAAAATATATTATTGCACGGTTGTAATTGAGATCTCTAAATACTTTACCTCATCGTTAATTTCATTGAACTCATCATCAGGTTCTCTTTTGCTGGGCAAAGAACTGGAGGGAATCAGATCATCCTCTAAAAAGTGATGTCGTTGTCTCGCCTTAGTTTGACTTTCTATTTTCACTAGAAATGTTTCGCTCAGCTGACGTTGAGCTTCTTCCACACTTTCTCATGAAAACTCATGAAAATCGGAGACTTTAAACCAACATGTATTGCAAATAACTGTAGATATTGGATCACCTTGAAGTGGCTAGAAATTACTAAGTATTCCTGATTTCTGTTTGAGCGGCAATTTTCAAATAGTTTGTTTACCTCAAACCAGAAATGCTTTCCTACTATTGATGCCATATTAGATTTAGTTTACTGCCAGTCACGTCGAATATATTAATAAATTCTTCAATCTCTCTTGTACACAAGCGACAAATCATAATTACTCACATTTGTATGCATAAACATCAAAAAGTTAGAATGTTATAAACCTGGAGGAGTACGTAAGAATTTCTAAAGTATTTCAGTAAATATTTTCTTCTTTTTAATCTGTCCGAACTACAATGTTATGAATACAATCGAGAATCGAATACTCCTAATTTTGTCTTGTGATTCCC